CAGCAGCAGCAGCAGTAGCACCTGTAGTGTTGTTTCGGCTGTCGTTGGTTGTTATTGCAATTGTAGTGGTTGCTGTTGCCTTGTGGGGTCCTTTTACGGTCCTTCACGATACGAGTCACGTGCTCTTTTGCAGACTCACAACAGGACCCTAATCCAGAGAAACACCCAACGTGGATTTGGTGGCATGCCGAGGCGCTCTCGTGGAGCACGGATGGTAGCAGAGGGCAATGCGGCCACGAGGTCCAAGATCTGTTCGGGCGCGGCCTCTGCTTGCATCCAATCAAATCATTCAGTAATTCAGTCTGCGACATGCCGGGCCTCTGGTGCAGCCACTTTGGCTTCAAGGTGCCCCAGCAATGCCTGCCAGCCCAACAGCACACCGAGCCAGATCTGACAATGACAAGCATGACCAGTGACCCCTCTCAAATCGCACCTCGCACTCGTTGATGCAGCACACCGAGTAAATACTGGATGATGCCACGCAGTTCGAGTGAGAGTTGACATAGTTTGGAATGAACACCGCCAGATTGGATGGATCTGACCTTGGCGCAACTGCAGTAACTCAATACGTTCGGCAGCAACAAGCACGGCCCTGCCATGGTGACAACAAGCTCTCGTTGGAGTGACGATGTTCACGACCCGTTTGGAATTTGACATTAGGAGGCAACTTCATTAGCGGATGCTCGGATTCAAGATATGGCCGGCAATCCTAGGTCGGGCCTTTTAACATGGACAGTGGACAGGCATCTGCTCGGTAAACTGCAGAAACTTCTGTGAGCTGATGATCCTACAGCAAGCCCGCCCATGCTCTCCAACTTTGCGATGCATGCGGAATCGGGAATCGGAAGATCCCGGCACGAGCGCATGCAGCCTTCAAAATTCATCTGGGGGTTCCTGGGAAGAAAGAGCCTGGCCGTGAAACGAAAGATCATCATCACTAACTGGAGGCAGCATTTTTTCAGCCCGGCACTCGTCCAATGCTTCTAGCTCACGCAAATAGTCGATGCTCTCCTCACGGCTTCGCTTGATGGACAGATATGGGCAGGTGCACTGGATGTGTGTCAACCTTCAACAACCAAGTCTCCGAGAACTGCCACTGACCATCCAGCGCCGCACCATAGAAGTCCTGTGTGGGTGTGCGCAGAAGAGCACCCTCCCCTCTCCAAGCAGAGCCTCGCAGACTTGCCATGCATCTGTTCTTTGGCACAAGAGGCATCCTTCAATAGAACGCGTCCAGTTCCGGCGTGCTCATACTTGACAAGCAGACCTTGCGGTCGTAGCAGCATGCACGTGCCTGAGACGTTCATGTGTTGACTTGCAGGCCAAGCCGCTCTTCAAGTCACGACACTCCGAATCCTGCCATCGACCATAGCGCTCGCCGATCTCCTTGAAGAACGTAGCTTCCACTATTGCCATTGCGTCTATGTCAGCTGTACTGCAGAGTGCTATGCCATCTCAGCTCCACTGGCCGCATGCGTCCGGGTCTTGCCTCGACAATCTCCGTTGCAGCACGGAAGGAGAAGTTGTTGGGGGAGAAGTCGGAGTCCAAATCCTACCGGGCAGTCGCAGCGAACAGCGGCAGCCCGTCGCCGGCATGAAACGTATTATTGGCACACGGAGAGTTCGGCCACGTCCTTTGAAGCAACCACACTCGAGCGCACTTGTGACGTGAATTTTTGCGTCTCGTGCCAGCCAGGGTAGCTGTCGACGATCAGGGCACGCTCCTCAATGATCTGCAAGATCCGAGGCAACGGTATAAAGACTATCATGCACAATTAGAGCGGTGATGATGAATATAAAACGACGGCCACGAGGAGAAGAATATCAGTAATAATTAATGCCAATGAGTCGTCGTCGTTTCGGTAGCAGCAGCAGCAGCAGCAGCAGCAGCAGCAGCAGCAGGAGTGGAGGGAAGAGTAGAAATAGCACTAGTGGGACTCCTTTTGCTCCTCCTCCTTCTTCTCCATCCACTCCAACTTCTACTACTACTGCAGAGACCACCGCTAGCTTCAGCAACACCGCTACTGCTGCTGCTGCTACTGCTACTACCACGACTGCTGCTGCTGCTGCTGCTGCTGTGCTGCTGCTACTTAGGCGACGACCACCACCACTACTGCCACCACCACCACCACCACTAAAGTGACATGCGTGACTTCTGCTACTTGTCGTGCTCATGACGACTACTGACTACTGAGACTACCGCGAGAGCTCTTAGTCTTAGTGCCCGCTGAGCTTCTTTCGAGACCGTGGCCGCCGTGAAGTTCTGCGACCCAACGAGGAAAATAGTCATGTACGTGTCAATCAAGTCTTGCAGCACCACCTCTGTGAAAGCGCTTCCAGAAACGACATGGGAAACTGCTCGTTGACATTGAAATTGAAAAGGCGAAATCACTGCGCACGAGACATCTTGAGTGTCATGGCGCACCTCCTGCACTCGATCGGCCATCGAGTAGTTGTGCACCTTGTGGTGGCGAAGACCGTGGTTCCACAAGGTCACTGATCTAAGGTCAATTTCTGCTGCCACCCCCTGCCACCTCGTACACAACAGAAAGTCGATTTACCGCCTCGCGTTTCCACCGCACGGCATACTCTCGAAACTGCACACGATACATCAAGCGCCTCGTCGTGGATCAAGTGCTCCAGAGTGGCTGCCAGCACAGTCAGCTCGTGAAGGCCCAGGCCTTGGTCCTGAAAAACTGGGCACGATGCAAGATTCGGTGCCTTCCAGCAGATGCACTCCTTCAAGCGATCTTCGAAAAGCGACAGAACGAAGGACGGCACATGCTCTTCAAGCACCTGCACCGGGTTGCCCGTCAAGCCCACTCTCGAACTTTCCAATACCGGCATTCGAAGGCGAAAGAGACCCGGAAGCCTAAACTTGCACAAAGACTGCACTGGGCCTCCGTGGTGCTCATGTTCTTCCAGTTCATGCTGTTGGCCTCGAGGCCCTGCACATAAAGCAGAGGCTGCTGCAAGAGAAGAAAGGAATACAGAGAGCAGAAGAGGTTCGTGGATCTGAAGAAGCCATGCGCTTGTGCCTCTCCGTTCTCCCGTTCTGCGAAAGCCCATTTTTAGTGAAAGCAAATGTCGCAGAATGGATGGTTGCAGTTCTCAAGTATTCCTTCCCGTCCACGAGACATGTACACGGGTCGGGTCGAAGCCTGACATGTCACGAGCGGGAGATGACTGCTCGTGCGGCGGGCACGGTCATCGACCACGACTATTCACCCAACCGACTGGTTCGGAGGCTCTCCGTGGCACACATTGCGAGGCCGGGTCTGCGAATGGTCTGAGACAGTGGCTAGGCCAATTAGGCAAACAAACTGAAAAGCAACGTAAGCCTAAGCTGCACTCTGAATGTCAGCATTTTGGACTCAAACCTCACCAAGCTTGAGAAGGGAAGGGTGCAACCCACAACGAACCTTGATGTACATGGCATGGCGCTGGACAAAGAGCCGGTGCAAGACATACCTCCCCATGTTCAGGTCTGGCAGACAAGAACCCTGTACATGAGGAAAGCCCCAAAAGGGTCGCCTCGCTGCAGCATCTTCCAGGTTGCCGTAGGCATTCTTGGGCATGGCCTCGCGTCAAAAAAAAACGCAGAGACCCTGCGCACCTTGCGAATGCAGGTCTGGCCTGAAAGGTGGGCTGCAAGGCACCCTCGATGGCTTTGAGACGCTTCTCGGTGACACGGTTGCCACCTAACAGACAAAACTCTTCGCGGCTCACGAAAGTCGTTGCAAATCACAGCGAACCTTCACGTCGCGATTAGGATCCAAATGCAATGAAGCTTTCATCTAGCTGTGGCATGCTGTGGCTCCAGGCTGCCAAGGGCCGTCATCACCTGCCCGCATGAGCAAGTGCCGAATTGACAAACAGAAGCGACGCAGCAGTAGCACGACAAAAAGGTGGCACTGCTGAGGCCTCCTGCAATACCGTCTCACGGAGCTGGTCCGTGCCTTACCGGGACAGGATACATATCTAAACCGCCATCTCTATCCTTGTAGCAAGATTTGTTCTCGTCTCTACTGTCGTCGAGACACGACAACAGTTCACAGCCTAAGTTACATCTTCAACGCTTCGTACCGCTGGCTTCCGATAGTGAGCCTGACTCATAAAGATATTCTCGCAATCCATTGTCAAGGATACTGATGCTGGGTTATGTTGTGTGACCCCGATGTTGGAACGATCATAGAAGCGTAGAATGGCAGGATGTGTGCTCCGCAATAAGTCTTGGCGGAGTCATAGTGAAAGCGACGAATCGGGCAACAACAGAAGTCGAATGTACCGCAGAATAAACTGGAAGTGTCTGGCAGCAGCGAGATCGTCGCCAGCAGCGTCATCAAAGCCGAAGGAACCCAAACATTAACGAAGGCTGGAAAGCGGTTGGAGTTAAGGGAAAGATTCATGTGACATGGAAGTTCATTTGAATAGCAGCTGCAGCAACAAAAACAACAAAAAGATGTTCTCCAGTGGCTTTTTGCGGAAAGGTTTAGACAACATTCCGCTGACCTATGTTTTCATCACCACCACTGCCTGCGCACGTGTCCATCAACTACCAGCAGGTTTGCAGCTGTTCCATCCCTCGTGGCCCTGTCATGCTGTAATGGACAAGCAGCTCATGGATCCCACGTTCGCGTGGAGGTTTCCTCGAAGAGAGGCTTCTGCACAACGAAACGCGACAATGGCGAAGAAGAGATGGAGAGCCATCCTCGGCAAGACAAGCAGAGCATTCATGAAGTCGCTTCATATCGCTTCATGCTGTATTCCTGTCACGGCCCAACCTTCCTAGGCTAGCCTGGGGCAACTTCCTGACTCGAACAATGACGACTACGATTGAATCATTTCCGCGACGAGAGTCTTGCTGGACATGGAATAGGCCTGAAACGAACAGGACTGAACTCTGGCTAAGTGAGCTTACTCGAGCCTGAACTGCAGTTCATTCGGCCAGTCAACCACCGTGTGGTATAATCCTAGGTCCTGTTCGCATGCTACGCGAGCAACAGCACCGATCCAACAAGCAGCATTCCGAGACACGATCAATCACTTAGGCTGTAGAGATATTCGCCTACATCCTTTCCGGACAGGGTGCATGAAACTCTGAAAGCCCCGACGAGAATACGCAGGTTTTCGCGCATCAGCGAACTAGCGCGGTCACGTGAGCGACGCCAGCACGCACGCAAAGCCAACGGGTGCCTGGAGCAGGTGGATGGAAACACGTCATTGCGGTTCCGGCGGCCATGGAATGCTACGGACTGCAGCTTTGCACCTTGTGGTGGCTTCAGTTCCCGGGGCTGCAGCAGCCGCTTGCAGGGCATGCCAAAGCCAAGACAAGCCTCCTGGCATCCAGCATGCCTTACGTCCGCTCTAATCGTGTGGAACGCGTGCTCTTGCCGACGCTCCTTGCCCCAGCCGCTGACCATCAGCGAGGGTCCACTCTGAGACTCCACTTCGAAGAACGTAAAGAAACCTCCCGCACCACTTGAAGTCAAGTGATCAGATGTTCACTGCCCTTTGTCTTCCGTTCAAGCAGAAGCTGGTCTGGCAGCAGAGCAAAAGCTGACTCACTTTCGGAAGAAGTTGAAAAAGTGTTTGTTCTCTCAGACAAACCTGGCGGGCTCGCCTCCGCAGGCAACTCCGGCACAGCCTGGGTTAGCAAAGCGCAGAGGATGTCTCTAGAGAAGCCGAGGTGTTCTAACTGAGCCCAGGCACGGCCCGGCAAAGGGAGCGCGGTGGGTTGGTCAAGCAGGGTTAATGAACCTTGCCCGCACTGACCTGTGCCAGGCTCTTAGAGCTACGCTTTCCAAGACTTCATGGCTGAAAGGACATGGGCCTCTCCGATTATCGCCGAAGGTGAAGAGGGCGCCCTCCTGATAGGCACTTCAGACTGCGCAGTGTGGCTCAGCTCAACCTTGACACATGTTGCAGATCCGTGTAACATGGCGATTGGTGTGGCCCCGGCTTCGTCGACAACGGCGGAATGAATTCCTCCCAGTGACACCTTCGCGGCCTTCGACGCGTGGCCTGACCGGGTGCGGATGTCGCTCCAACTTTTACGGGGAGGGTGGCACAGGACTGCACACAGACACCGAAAGGCCAGAGGAGATCAACATGAAGACTGTTCAAACACGGGCTTCATTGTGCTATCCACCAACAGGCCTTCAAGACCAAAGAAGTGCACGGGTCGCGGCGAGTTCGCCTGCAAAAGTGTCTTGGCTCAACGGATGCGTGGTCAAGTTGCCGCAAAAACTGGAGAGAACAACGACGCATATTTCATGCCTGTTGCAGAGCTACGCTCGCAGTTTACAGACTTAGCAAAACCTCGGATAGCTAATTATTCAAGTTCCTTTCCGGCAAGTCCCTGCCGATCACCTCAGGCAGTTCTTTTTGTGAGCAACCAAGGCCAAGCTGGCCGTAGCGGTTGCCTCATTGTTGGGCACGGGCGTTCAAGAAATACAAAAATACCGGAACTTGGCCACAAGCCTAAAGCCTGAGTCTTTATTTTCTTACCTAGCAAACAGGTCGCCGGTCTAGTGACGCTATAACTGCAACTGGGAAGCTTCCCCATGTCCACAGCCTCCCATCTTCTGTGATGGCTGCACTATGGTAACCTCAGATGTAGTCCATGCGCACAGGGTGAGCAAATCCCATGCCAAGGACTCCGACAAGACGTCAGTCTCGAGTGCAGGCAGGCTACCGCCCGCTGCAATGGCTTTCACTAGCGGCATGTCGAGCAGGCGAGGCTGCGGCTGCTTGAAGCTTATGCTGCTTGGCAAATGACCTGCCAGAATCAGAATGTGCCAAAGACTCCCTGCTCAATCATGAGTTTCTACAGACCGCCGGATGCACAATTCCAGGCAAGCTACGGCGGATCTTTGGGTCTTCCAATGCCATACTTGCCTTTGCACATGATTCCGCACTCATGTTACTTGAACTGATGGTGCAGCTCGGGTGCTAGCATAATCTGCTCTCCTGTATGACTCTGGAGGCTGAGGACTTAGCCATTCCAACTTCGGGCCCCTGCGCTTCGCCCCAACTCAACAGCCGTCCTGGCGACTCTAACAGAGGGCCACATCGGCAAACCGTTTCGTGATGCTCGCACAACACAGTCGCCGACAGTCAAGACCGGGCAGCAGACAGAGCAGACTGATGCGAAGATATGCGAAGCTGTGGAGAAGCATCACCCGGCCTTCCGCGGTCAGCGCAAGTCCGTGGAACTCACCTTTGCAGCAGGCTCGGGTACCCGAAACAGATGGCTCCGACAGAAAAAGCTTGCAAAGGGCAACAACGAAATGTTCAGGCAAAGTGCCGAGCGCAACCTGCACCACGGGAACTTTGCCCGGCACCTGTGACACGCGAGCTACGAGTACGAGCAAACGTGGTGGCGTTCAAAGCCAGCACCAGGGCTGTCCAAACGGCCGTTTTGTGCGACCGGCAGCGCGTGCGTCACAGCGCTGCTAGCCGTAATTCTAGAGCACATGGTCAACATATGTCGCCGTCACCTGCTTCCCAACCCTTGCTTCCGCCATCGAAGTGCCGAAAAACAGGAACTCCACTCGCAGCGTAATCCCTCCCGCCAGAGGCAACGTCGCAGAAGACGGCAAGCTACTCAGCAGGGCCATAGGCGACGAGAGCTCGGATCGCGATTCCGAAACTGATGCAGCAAATCGCCGGGTGCAACGTAAGCCTTTCGTTAACAGACCATCCCACATGGCTATTGAAACCTGTTGAGGGTGTGTGCATTGATGCCGAAAGCAAAGTCGTTTCTCTCAAGCATCTATGTACTCACTTTGATTGTCCGCTTCATCTCAATGTGCTGCCACGATGGTCCTACGAAGACACAGATGTTGCAAAGACGATCGTTGAAGTAAAGCGAAGCAAGTCAAACTAATTGTTGGATGCGGGCTCCCTAAAACAATCAAGGTGCGTTGCACACGCAGTGGCACAGGCCCAACATCTACATCGTATTAGAGTGGCAAAGCAGATCTTTCAATGTTGGTTCGGGGGTTGGTACGATTCCAAGCGTCATGATACTTGGCCGCCAGTGCCGGCAATTACGACGAGACGTCGGGAGCCGCGCAGGGCGAGAAAGATGTGGAAGCCCGAGGCCAAGGACAGGATGTGCTTGCACGGACGGCGGAGTGCTTGCAATTCCGTCACTGCGGACGAGCACTGCTTCAACATCTGCCACACCCTGCCACGCTCGGTATCGATATGGTGCCCGAGGATTCCTGTGAAGTGAACACCCCAGCCGACATGCAGACCACGCCTACATTGCAGTGCAAGACTGCGGCTGCTACGAAAACCGTGGTCGAAGAGAAGCCCTGATTGGCGCCTTCAGCGGCGTCAAGGCCTTGACAACAGGAGCATCCGTCGGCACACCGCATCCATGTCCTTCGTTCGCACCTTGATTGACACATCTAGTGCAGTCTGGATATATGCAATGCCACGATCGCAAGAGTTTTCAGGAATGACTTTCGGGTTTGAGTGCGGCCCAGTAGCCCCAAGCATACAGGGAGCCCTCTGCTGTAAGAACTGTCGTCACAAAACGTCCACATCGGACATCATGAACGGCCTCAAACTTGTGACACTAGGTCGAGTGCCACATTCTTTCAGGGCTTGCTATCCCAGATGCAAAAGGGGTTGGTTGCACCATTGGCTCGGCAAGCAGTTCAACCTTCACGACATCAATCAGAAGCAAGAACGAACGCCTGTACTCTCCAGCTAGCCGAACAGAGTAGTTGGTGTTTGTCGCCTCCTCTTCTCCAGCAGCAGAACACTCCTCCGCGCTTTCTTCTGCCAGGAAGGTGCCCCAGACATACAGACGATCCGCGCAGCTCACAGCCTCTGATGCACTCAAGCTATTCAGGAATCACAGACAATGCGCCCAGAGAATTGCCACATGAAATGCGGCTGGAAGGCTGCAAATCAAAACGATATGCATTGCTAAAGCTCACCAAGAAGATCATGGTGCGCTAAGCGTTCCCCGGCGAAGAGCAAATGCATGTGGCTGGACTCCAAAATGGAATGTTGTGAGGAAGTTCATGGATTTGACAAGCTCTCAACGCCGGATTCACCCGCTCCATTCTGCTAATTTGCTACGAACGCCTTACCATCATGAGCCTTCTTAACACAGGCCTTGCATGGCATCGCAATGTTTGCCCGTGCCTGCTTTCGTGCTTTAGTGGCGGATGTCCCAAGACGCGTTTCGCAGGCTGCCAAGCCACAGCCGAGTGAGCTCCTGCCAGTCTGCAGAGCACGTTACTGCAGGTGCGATGTCACAAGGCCTTTTGCTGCAGATGCCGTTTTTTTGCAGAAGCCCCTGGAAGTGTTCATCACCCCAGGCTCCAACCGGTGACCCTGCAGTTTCTGCTTCCTCAACGAGAGTACATGTCCAAGGGTGCCAAGCGCTTAGGCAACCAAATAGAACTGAATCTCACTAGAGTTGAATCTTCTTCGTTCTGGGATACTGGAACCACCGCTGCACTGCTAGACAAAGCATCTGTGATCAGTTGCTCATCTGCCGAAAAGCACCTTTCTTCAACCTCAGGCTTCAGCAAAATGTGAATCGATCAACCTTGTCTGGTGGTGATCAGGTCCTGATGCCAAGCTGGTCAGGCGGCAGGAATCGAAGCCAGGCACCTGAAACAGTGACAATCGCAAGGGATCAAGCGGATGCTCCTTTTGCCGGCTGGTTCGTTCATGCATGCCTTTATACTACTGTCTAAACTGCAACTGAGCATCGACGTCCGGCTCAGCACAGACACCCCGGCTGATTGCTTCAAGGCCTCTGCCAAGGCGTCCATCCTCAAAGGCCGCGCCGCCCGTTAACTGCTCATCATTTTCGACAAAACGTAAAGTCCTCGCTGGCGCCCCAGGACAGCAGCCGGGCCCCTTGCTTCGCCTCACAGAGCGCTAGAGTAGTGCTGCTACATCTCCACATTTCTACTCGACGGTTTACTTTGTCTGAGGCGAGGAGAACTCAGTGTGACAGACTGCATCGAATTCTGCGCAGGCCTCTTCAATAGAGCCACCACCTTCTCCAAACACCTGCAAAGGCCACATTTTTCACAGAAGCTTGCAGATTGTATGCGTCATTACAACTTGGGTAGCTCTCCATCTCCTTGCTCATGCTGGCGACAGCGTCAGCTATAGTGCCTGGTCCTGGAAAAACGCCAGGCTCGGCCGTGACCATTCTGCCCATCCTTCCTCATTGGCAGCTCGCCTCGGATTCCGAGCTGAAGGCCCAGCCACTAGCCAGTTCTCATCCGCTTGTTTTAGCTTCTTAGTCGTCGAAGGCCAGAAGACACGGAGACCCAGCATGCCCTTGGCAGGCGCTGGAAATCCAACAGCGGCCGATCTTCGGCGGCTGGCCTCGGCATGTCCCAGGAGGCCCGTGGCATCGTTCTTCGAACGATCAAAGCCATGCGCGGTTAGCGTCCGTGAGCATGACCCATGTTTTTTGCACGCGTGAACTGAACAGCCATTCTAGGGTGCCCGGCATACCAGGAAGGGACTGAAGGAGGTGTGCGCAATTAGCATCCTCGCCGCCACTCCCTCCACAGGCCTCATGCACATAGATTGCTACCAGAGGTGCACGTGGGACTGCACACTATCTTTGTCAGCTTGCTGCAATAGCACAAATGCCGGCCGGATGCTGCCTCCTCGGCAGGTAGCCTTGGCTCCACCCAGTCGCAAAGCTTCGCTGCAAAGCAGCAGAAAGATGACCAGCAAGTTTCAGGGACCAGCAGCTCGATCCGGCACGCGCTGTCCATGTCCGCAGTTCCTGCCAGTTCTGGGAGTTAAGATTGATCATTTAGACTGACATATTATGTCTTCTGCTGGGACGCTGCAAGGACTAACTCAAACTATCTGGTGCACGAGTGCAGATCCCGACTTTCCCCACCCAAAAGTAACCTTCGGCGTGCCTTTTACGCCCAGCTGCCATGGCCAGGCGCTGACCGCGTAGCGCCTTGGCTGCGTAAAGTCGGTGCACGACTCTCCAAAGGCATGGTGCGGTGTGCTTGCAAGCGGGGTGCGTGATACATCGGTTGTTGTCTCGCGGAGCTTTCCATTGCAGAAGCACGCGTTGTACGTCTCTTCTCGCCACTACGACATTCTCCACAACGTCGGGAACATCGAAAAAGTCCTCCGCCATGCAGCAGCTTGAAAACTTGGGCCGCGCGACTAAGCTGACTAAGCATGTTGAATGCAGGCACCGAAAGAACCGCTATGCAAAGATCATGTTTCGCATGGGTTGGATAGACCTTCACTGGCGTGAAGCAAGATGTTTCAAGGAACCATGTCTGGCTCTTGCCTGAACTAAAATTGCCAAACCGCCACCACCGTACTTGTAAGCATCACCATCATCGTCATCATCAACATCGTCGCGGCCATCAGAAACATGAGAATCCTCCTTTTTGCACTGAATGCTCAGGGTTTGAGCGCGAGACTCATTGCGGCGCCTGTCAGACGCCGTTGCAAAGTGTCAGTCAAGCCTCGCACTGGGCGTCTCAGGTAGTAGTGCGCTGTGGCTCATCATCATCTCAATGATCACTTGAATCATCGTCAGTGGAGCCAGCCTGTTCTCGTGACCATCACAGCTAAAAACCTCATTGCGATCATGACAAGTTAATCTTCTGGAAAGTGTACTTGGAGAGGAGCAGCTCGGGGTTTGACACCTGTTCTTTACGGGTGATGTTGTCTTCTGCACCTGTCCCCCGAATCCACGCAGCGAAGTCCTCAGCCTGCAGCCCTGGGGACATCCCGCTGCAGAGCTGGATGTTGCCACTGGTAACGGACTATAATCGTCCTAATCATGACTTTTGTACTACTGCTGCGAAAGACACCAATGTAGAGCGGGAGGAGCTGGTTAATTGCTGTAAAAGGTCGAGAAAGTGTAGAAGCCACAGTTCCCTGGAATCAAAGAAACGGCTCCATCGGCACATGATCGGACAAGCCTAGCTTCCCCTGCGCACTTCGGGAAAACTGAGTAATCCAGACCATTTTCAGCACGACTGCATAGCCATAGTGCCTGCCGCGCTTGCTATGGCAACCTTGGTTTTGGCTCAGCAATAATTACTACACTCTGCCGGCCGTCAAACAACAGCTTTTCATGCAAGATGCTCTTCCTTTGGAAGGCCAGCACATTGCAGAAGAGCCGGTGTGCAGTGCTCCTGGTTGCGGTGTGGCATCTGAACGCATAATTTCGCAGATGCGTCCCAGGCCTCGATACAAGCCTTAGATTCGGGGTGCTCCTTTCCTGGCAAATATGGGTCAAGAGTAGCTGGCTGCGCCAGTCACAAGCTGGTACAGATAGCTGCGTCCCGCTTTAAATGCAGCTCAGGCAATAGCCTTTCGTCGCAAGCAAGGAGAAGCACTGCTTCGTGCTGCAATCCGACACGTCGACGAAGCATGTTGCACCTGGGTGGCTTAAGAGCTTCTGGGACCGCCGTGCTCTAAGCTCTCAATGAACCCCTCAATATTCCTCAATTTCTCAAGTCAACCAACAAGATCAGAAAGTACATCGTGAAGGCAACACCGCAAAGAAGAATGCTCCCAACTTAGGCCCTGGCAAAGCTCCGACAAGCCCACTTTCTCTTTGTGCAGCTTCAAGGAAGTCTCCCTGACGATTTTGAATTTGAATGTGCTCCAGCTCTGTCTTCCGATCTTTTCCTGATTCAGACGAACTCAAGACTGTGTAAGCGCAGCAACACGACCGAGCAATCCAACGTCCAACGCACGAATTGGACTTTCAGCTTCGGAAAGAGGCCATTCTAGCAGACAAAGACCGACTGCGGCCCCAGCGGCAAGCAGCTCGGGGACTTTTGATCCTTTGAGGGCATTTCGATCCGACTGGCCTGAGCAGAGGCCCTCGGCTTCGCCATCCTGTTCGTAAGCAGCTGATGCGACTGTAAAGATGAAGTACCCCTCGCTCGGAGGGGGATCCAGCCTGGCCTTCTCTCCTGCGTTGCCATCGTCCGAAACGGGATCGTCCGAATCGGGCTCGATCGTGTCGGCTTCAAGACCGATGTCGTCGCCTAAAAGCGTTTGCAACCCCTCGTCTGAGGGGTTAGAAGGAACAAAGCACACTGAAGCATCTGTGCATGGTGCAGGCGACTGTTGCCATGATTGTAAGCAAAAGATGTAGTACCGGGACACTGTTCTGATCCCCCTTCGTGGCCCATTCAGGATCGGCTTCGAGCCCTCAGCCCAGGCAGTGCACCGGATCACTCAACGGTGAAGTCTTTCTCGCACTTCGACTGCTCTTTTAGCGCAACCAAACGGCCGATCTCCTTGTCTTCATAAATGCTGTTGACAACATCGTTCAAGAAGGAATCGTACTCATCTGAAGAGGGGTCGCGATTGACGGACATGTGCGTAAAAAAGACCAAGCCGTCCAAAGCAAAGCAAACTCACATGTCCCATGCCGAACCCGGCACGAATCCAGCCTTCATCTTCCTCGTCCGCCATCAGCCCTGGTCCAAGCAGGTTGAAATTGCTGCAGGTCTCTGATCTATGGAACACAAGACTGAACACAAGAAGGGTATCCTCATGTGACTGAAACGAGATATGACAAAACACCAATGCCCTGGGCTGATCACTCTCTTCGAGCTGCAGAACACGATATCAATGAGGTAGCCCGCTCTCTTTCGACAGCTACGCCCGTCTATCCATCAATCCACATCACATCTGGTTGTAAGATGTTGTAAGGGCGTTGGTGAAGCCCGCTGCGTAAGGCTGCCCTTCCCTCAGACAAAGCAAGCTTGGATATCTTGGGATACCAGTGTGTCTGACACACTCATGTCGCCCGTCCTATATCGTCATCGACATCCTCGTCTTCGTTGCGGGTGGTCGCGGCAGTGCTTCTGAAAATACTCGTCGTGGTGAAGGTCGTCGAGGCAGAGTCAATCCTTACAGTCGCGAGATGAGCAATTTAAATGGGTGTCATGCACCCATAGTGACGACCTCTTGCATTCAGATCTGGACTTCAACTTGCTACCTTGAGTAGAGGTCCCCGTCATCCACATTTGGCAGAATGTAGTCAGAAGCACTTTGAATCTCCAGTTTGTACACATTATGAACAGCATGCCAAGTGAAACTGCCAAGTGATGCCGGAGCTGCCACCCGCAGAGACAATGCCAGGGACTACAAGCAGCTTGAAGCAACACGAAAAAATGCCAACGAGAGGGATGAAAGAAAGTCGCCTTGAACCCCGGAAGCCCCCCAACATCCACAATCCCGGTCTTCAGCAATCGCCCAGCTGCCGACAGCACAGAGAAAAAACGAAGGCAAGAGGAGTCAGAGGAGGCCTCCGACTATGACACACTTCCTCTTGGCCTCTCGGCTCGCTGCACTTACCAGCGCAGTTGAGCAGCTGTTTGTCATTGTTGGCCGCCTCGTCTAAGTCTTTCTTGCGCAGCTTGCAGCACCTGTCGCAAGTGACTGGCGCAGAAACTCATCAATACACATAGAATCACATAGAGAAAGCGTCCAAAGACTGTGCAGGACAAGGAACATGTCCAAGTTCAGGTCGCCACTCGACAGTTTGCACTGACGTGAGCAGTACAAGGGATTCTTGCATCTGACCTGTCCAGGTAGGGTCGAGCTCAATGACATGCTGTGCTGCACACAGGCAAGGCATTGCAAGCTCGCCTCAGCGTAATCCCAAAGGCAATCCTCATTGCCTCAGTCAAGTAAACAAGCAAAACACAATGAGATGCTCCAATGATGCTGCCGACATCATCTAGGCAACCAGGGAGCGCGTTGGTCGAAACTTCTTGACTGTCAAGCGGCAACTTTGTTTGATCTTTAAGTCTCCAAAACGATACTTGTACGCCTTGGCAGCTGAGAGGGGCGAATCCAGCTCCGGTGAGTGAACAACAAATTGAACGCGTGTTCTTGAGAATGCCCAACAGATCGCCAAGTGGCACAAGCGTACTTGGGCTCGCATCGAGCTTTGCGAAAGTTCCATGAGCAATCTTCATCTGTGAGAGGCACCTGCCGCATTCTTCGTCACACAGCTGGGGGAAACTGCTTGCTTGCAATGCTTGGCTTGACGGTCCTGGGCATGGGCCGGTGCAGAATCAACTTCGGCAAGGTCCTTTCACATGACGACAGCTTGTGGTGAGTTCTGCTCCGACATTGCGAGACGTCCGGCTGGACGACATCAAGACCGAGTTTCCCTTGACAGTCTTCGCAGCTATGGCAAGCGTGGATTAGAACAGACGGCCCAGTAAATCATCGGCTCGCAAAGCCTTTTGGCAAGCTACTGGCAACAAACATCTCCTCTTAACTGCTGCTCTTAAGCATCAACTGCAAATGATTCGTGATGGATGGCATGTCGGATTGCAATGACGTAACATTTGCATCTTGTGCATCTGGCTGGAGATTTAGTTGGTGTTGGGTCTACGCATGGATCCGCAGAGAAATATCTTCATGAAGTCCAGGAGCTTCAGCTCACCGCGTCCTTCAGCTGCTTCCCGCTCTTCTCCCTTTTCAGCTGTTTCCGTGCGTGTCCGGCCTGGCACCAAACCGTCTGCAATCAGAAACCGCCCGTGTCTCAGACATTCTCAAACCAGACCTGCAATTCTAGAATCTAGAACCACATCAAAAACCAGGAAACCACAGCAACTGAAAATGACATAAGTGGCACAACAGTAATGTCAACACCTACAGATAATCGAACCACGATCCAGACCAAATCGCCGGACCGGCTGCTGCAATGTTTCTGAAAGGGGAGTTCTGAGTTATCATGCCGCAGGAATGTGCTGTCCGAACAAGTCACGCTCATGTACGTGGCGACTTGATCCAGGGGACGGGAGGACGAAAATGCAAACTTGAGATCAACTGGAATCACTGCTTAACTCCCCAAGGCTGCAGATGGCCCCAATACTAACGAGGGTCTATCAAAAAACGTCACAGTCGGACAGAAATCATAAAACTTGCAATCAGAGAGTGGGAAATTGTCTGTCTCGATGGAAATGAAGAAAAAGGCTAGCTGCCTTGGGGAAACGGTCTTCGACTCTTCGAGCCCTCTAAAGTATCCGCCGACCCCTGCTGGGGCGGCGCCAGTGAAATCCCGAAGGGTTGGTTTTTGCTTGTCTTCCCGTCAAGAAGAAGTAACAGGCTTCAAAAGTTGGCGACACCGCCACCCCACCACCCACACCGTT